AAAATAAAGTCCAAAATTCAAAACTTCCATTTAACTGAAATTTGAAAAAAATTATAAATGATTTTATGACATAATCATCATAAAGCATTTTACACACACACACACACACACACACACACAACTTTCAAGGCAGATACATTACTGTATATCTCCCTGAACTTTTTAAGAACTTTTCCAGAACATATGAAGCTCTGCCATTGTTGAAGGCATTGAGGAATCTGGTAAGGAAATATCTCTGAAACAATTGTCTAATGCAGTGTTTCTCAACCTTGACAATTTTAAGGCATGGGGACTTCAACTCCCAGAATTCCACAGCCAGCAATGCTGGCTGTGGAATTCTGGGAGTTGAAGTCCCCATGCCTTAAAGTTGTCAAGGTTGAGAAACACTGCCATAGGTAGTATAAATTTTGGCTGAGGTTATTTATCTGTTTGCCTTACTTACTAGCTAATTCTTATTAGAAATGTTTATAAATACTTTTTATTGTAGTCTTTTCCATTTTTAATTTGTATGTTTTTTTTAATGTTATAAGCCATTCAAAGTATATGTGCATGGGATATAAATGTTAATATAAATATTCCTTATTGGTCAAGATTACTCAAGCATTATCAGGATAGCCAAATTATTTTTGTAACATAAATTGATTGTAACTGTTGTAAGCTGGAAAAAAAAATCACCATTATTAAGCAATTATATCAGAGGAGATAAAGGCACTGATATTTTAAAATGAGGGAACGTTTGTGATCTATCACGAATATTTACTTTGGTCCTAGGTGCAGTATACATCAATATAAAACAAGCACATAAAATACAAAATTATAGTATAACCTCATAAAAATAGTTTTAAAAATTACCGTATCTCAAAATTATAATGTGCAAAGTTTAAATCTTAGTATTAGGCTTGTGTCTATCTTCCCAGATCCAGCACAAAATGCACAGAATTTAACTGCTTCTATACTACCCAATCAACCTGGCTAAAACTTTTTTATATAAAGTTGACAGGGAATTGCGCAGCAGCCATCCAAATGAAGTTGGAGACACAGACACAAACTTGTAGTCCTTTATATAAATATAAACATATTTAATATTTAATAAATTTACAGCAGTCTTTGTCATCATCCAGAAAAGGAAGAATACAAAATAGTCAGGGACACAGGAATATCATGAGGTAAATCTGAACAGTACATAGAACACACAAGAAAAAGGAGGGAAAAAAGGGGAAACTCCCCCTTTATACTTACAACAACCAATCATAGTGTAGGTTGCATCATGCATGAGTCAGCACTCTCTAATCAACTACAACTGTATGTTAGGCCTATTGTACACTTTACTGTTCCAGCTACTAAATTCAGTATCCTAACAAAAGACCACTACTTAAGAGAATTTAGTCCATTGATTTTCATCTCTAGAATCACAAGAGAACTTCTGATAAAAGAAAAAATGCAGTAGATTTGTCTATTTTTTCATGAATGACAGTATAAAAATACTTCTGCTATTATTAGGTTGTTGTTTTTTAATTATCAGAGTACAATATAAATATATCTGGCTTGAATAATACTAGCATAGAATAGGAACTGGTAGTCATTATTGAAACCCAATAGTGGAAAATGAAATATAATTGTGTTTTGTTCGATTGGCAATTAACAGTTGATAAAATAAAATAAGTTAAATATTAAAATATTGTGTTAGAGACTTAATCTGTATAGAAGCTTTCTATACTGTTTTCATATTATGTTTCAACATGTTATTGCTTGGATCCATTTATAGTTTTGTGAATGAAGATAGGGTGCACATTTGCAATAAATAATAGTCAGAACACACATTACATTTACTTTGTTTTCTATATTTAGAAGATCCAAATGCTATGACTTTTTCAAAACAGTGACAAACCCTCTTCCATATCTATCCCATAAAGGCTGGATCTGTCAGCACAAATTGCTTTCCTTGTAGTTATATAAAGTAATGTGTTATTGTGTTGTGTATTAAATCAGTTGTCATCCTTATTGTAGGGACAATCTGCTATTCTCAAAGATGGAAATCTTTGAGTTGATAATCTTTTATCTAATAATTTTGGTGAACACTGAAACCAATGATGACACTAGATAAGTGATAGCAGTTCTATCTGGTGCATATATTACTAATATGAAAAAATCTGGCTTTTGCCTATCCACAAAAAATGTTAAGGAAAGATTTATTCTTTAAGTGGAATAATGAGAGAATTTACTAATATCTTCAGTCGAATTATATGACAAGCTTTTTTTATAATAGGATCTTCCTTATTATGTTGTTGCCACTAAATCTTCTAGGCTTCTTCTAAATTCTTTCTGTTCTACAGGAATATTAATAATGTGTTTTCAGTGATATGATCCATTTAAAACATTCAAGTAGCCATATGTTACTTAACAAAGCTTTATTTTGGGCCATAGACTATATTTTAGCTGTGCAATGTTAGGTATTCAGCAACATGTCTGGCACAATTTTAATAAAAGTGGTTCTATTAGTAGTAATTATATTAGAATATCAAAGCTGTGGCTCTGATATCTTGCTTTCAAAAAGTTAGGCAGTTTGCTTGCTCTTCATGATTTCATTTGATTATAGACCAGTATGCATTTCAGCTTTTTTGTCCTAACTGATCCTGTGTTTGGGTTTAGCCAGCCTTTGGGGATAGAAATTAAAATTCTAATATTAAAAATGTGATGCATATCTTAAATTGCACTTCAGCTGATGCCCTTGAGAAGGGTTTCTTTAGAAGGCTCAAGAACATATTTTCTGAATGCAAGTTTGTTAGCTCCCAGTTTAGGGAAAGGAAAGGATTACTTGGCCTAGTCTAAGCAGATTTAATTATTCTTGTTTAATAGCTTGCCAGAATATGTTAATACAACATTTCTTGATATCACTTATTAATTTCATTTAATATGCTATTTTTGCCAATTTTGAATTATTATGCAAAATTGTTTTGTGCAAAACAATTTAAATACTAGTAGTGTATTCAATAAATACCTATGAGCTGTACCAGCACATGACCAGACCCAGTTTTAAAACCATTTTTATTGTGGTCTTTAAGCAGATCACATTGCTGTTAACCAAATCTGGCTTCTCCAATTGACTTTGCTTGTCAGAAGCCATCTGGGAAAGTCGCAAATCATGATCATGAGACCTTGAGATACCACAACTTTCATAAATGCAAGCTGGTTGCCAAGCGTCAGAATTGTGATCATGTGGCTGCAGGGATGGTAGGATGGTCAGAACTTCAAGGGTAGATTATAAACCATTTTTTCCAGTGCTGTTATAACTTTGAACCCATTAGGCTCAAGCCCAGAGATGAGACAGAGAGATCAAATTGAGTCCAATTCTTTATTTGCTTATACCTAATAGACAGGATCTTGTCAAAGTAAGGCTATAATTTTCTAAGCTACTAGATATATCCAGAGAGATTCTAGGATGAGGCTACTCTTAACCTCTTTCTCTCTCACCCCTCCATCTCAGGGCTATGCAGTCTCTTGATCCAGAGCTCCCTCTGAGAAAGTTCTGAGTTGGCAAAATCCTCCCCCTCTGCTGCTGCAGGTGCACATTCCATCACAGAACCATCATTAAAAGAACAATCCTAAGTGAAGAACCACCTGTCAAACTATTTTATATTTGCAGCACCTATCTAAAGAATCTAAGTTATTTGTAAACACAGACCAAAACACCAACAAATTCTAATAATTCTGGGATAAAAGACAAATAGTAAAATTGATAGGGTTGCATAAAAAATGATCATTTGGTATAATGACTAGGTTGGTATGCCAGCATTTAGCAACCACATACAGGTTACATAGAGACACAGCATTTATGTAAAATGGACATTGTCTGGCTTTTTTCAAATTAAGAAAAAGTTTTGACAGGATAAATGCTTCTGTATGGTTGGCTTGTTCTTTTATGGATCAGATTTACATTATATTTGCAGAGATACTATATGATCATATAACATATGATATAAGGTATATAATAATACACAGAGTTCCTAGAACATGACTAATTGCCATATGCAAGGCAGACTTGGGATATGTTTTAAAAATAATTTTCTATAATTTCAGGTTTTATCTAATATTTTCATTATGACCATTGAGATAACCCAAAATATTCTTGATTCATACCTGTGTTACCTTTGTTAATTAGCTCTTTAGTAGCATGAGAACCAAAACAACTGTTGTAAGAAAGTTATCTAACCATAATATTTGCCTTAATTTGGAATATAAAATCCCAATAACATGAAAGATTTTTTTTCTGTTCGAGTATCTAAGCAAGCCTAGTTGTAGATTCTGTCTTCTGTTATTGGAGACTGACTGTATTTAGGGAGAGACAAATAACAAAGAATAACATTATCTAGCAACATGAATGTTAAAGCACCAAACTTTATATACCACAATTTCATGTGATAATTCTACAGTTTATAAAAGACGGGAGCTCATTCATAATGTTGGGATAGAAAATGTCTGCTCTTCTGTTACATTAAGGCAAGCCTAATTTTGAATTATGAATATCAAGGTATCTTTGGGGACAGGGGAAAAAGTTTAATTACTGGGGCTGGTTTAAATTAGGATAGATTGGATTTGACTGATATGCTCTGTGTATAACCACAGCAAATGCTCTGTGAAATAAGAATAAAGTTTAAATTTTCCCATCGTGCAATTTTGCCTCTTGTCTTAGTTCTTGTTTCCTTTTTTTCTTGTAGGGCATGCAGGTGTCTCTGCCAGCATGATGAAGAAAAGAGCTTCTCACAAGTAAGTAGTGTTATCATTTTAATCTCATGCTTTCCATTTTTATGCAGTTATAGAGCTTGTGAAGAGTAGCTGTTTGTTGTATCATCTGCAAATCTGCTCAAAAAACTAGTTTTCTGGATATTTTAAGACTTTATTTTTTTATCTAACATGGGCATTATGAGAAGACTTATCACTTCTTGTGTTTTCTTCTGTAATATATCAATTTTATCACAGCAAAAGAGTGCTAAGGAATGTAGAATATGAGATGTATAAGATGGACAATGATAAGGTTATAGAGTTGAAAGGTATTTTTATCCCGTCCCAACTTACTGCTATATAATAATTTTAGCAAGAAATAAAAAAAATATGAACCACATTGAATTCGTGTTAAGCAACATCAGTTACAGTATTCATGGTAAGAGTGGTAAAATTTTTCTACACCTCTGAAATCAAATCCCATATGTTCAAGATTAAGGAATTTTCAGCATGGAAACACAAGGCTTTTGGTTTTCCAAAGCTTTGGCTGTAATTTCTCATATACCCAAACTGTCTCAAGTGTTTCCCAGCCCTGGGAGGCTTTTTTTGAGAGAATACAAACCTCCTGTCAAGTTGCAGGCTGGGAATAGGGCAGGAAAAAAACACATTGTTTTTAATGAATACGGAATGTTATGCTTTGGAGACAAAGATTCTAGTAAAATCCATATTTTTGAAACCAGATATGTAAAATACATTTATGTTAATTACAAAACATATATTTCTAAGAAAAGACTAATGTTTCCTTGGCCAAGATCAGAGCGCTACATTAAAGTGGAAATTTTCTGGAGTTCAGCCAGAGTCTACTTCTGAGATAATTATAGAATCACATGAAATAATTTTAGAAAGATCCAAGACTTCATCTCTCAAATGAGGATATATTTGGAGGGAGATACAGTCATAGTATTATTTACTGAATGTGTTGCAAATGTACTGTGCGCTTGGCTCATTCCTGAAAATTGTGTCCATGTGTATGTATTAAATAACTACATTTCCTAATATGAAAGAGTAGTTAAGTATGAGATGCTTCATATTATTTATTAAATTGATTTGCTACCAGTCTTGCAGTTCAATGTGACTCTGAGCAGCTTCTACAAAGTAATAGAATTTTTTCAATGTATTTACATCTTAATGGCTTTATATATAAATACAGAAAGCATCGAAACAACGTGGGACCAAGTAAACCCATTTCTCAACCTAGAAGAAATATTGTAGGCTGCAGAATACAACATGGATGGAAAGAAGGGAGTGGGCCTGTTACACAGTGGAAAGGCACAGTCCTAGACCAGGTTCCTGTAAACCCCTCTCTCTTCCTTATTAAATACGATGGATTTGATTGTGTCTATGGACTAGAACTGCACAAAGATGAGAGGGTTTCAGCGCTTGAAGTCCTTCCAGATCGAGTTGGTAAGTATTTTGATGGAGTCTAGAAGTGTTGGCTGTTAATCGTCAAATACTGCCACAGGCTATAGAAGTGAATGGATAATGATTTTATGCACTAGGGCAGGGGTAGGCAACCTTGGCTCTTTTATGACTCGTGGACTTCAACTCTCAGAATTCCTGAGCCAGCTCTGCTGGCTCAGGAATTCTGGGAGTTGAAGTCCACGAGTCATAAAAGAGCCAAGGTTGCCTACCCCTGCACTAGGGATTGTTAGATAGAAAATTTACTGATTTAAATAATTCCCACATGTCTTTATGAACAGCTGCCAACTGAACATAGTACTGTTTAAAGTGCAAATATAAACATTTTCATATCCCACAAAGCAGCAAATTAAAATATAAAAAATTGTCAAATGATAGAGAACCTGCAAATGTGTCCAGTTTACTAAGAATCATAGCCTATCCCTTCTGCTCAATTCTTACTGAAATAAATGCTTACCAAGTTCTCCTATTGAACCTTTTCAAGGATGAGCTTTACATAGTAAAGGCAGTACAACCGAAGAATCCTTTTTGTCAATAAATTAGCTTCTAAGAAAAGCATTTCCAAATAATATTGATATAAATGTTAATGGTTATGGTAAAATTGAACAAGCTTAAGATAAGTCATTTGTTTGATTTACTAAATTTATAGACTGTGTTCTTGCTTAATCCAGTGCTCAAGGGGACTAGAAATACATAAGCAAGAAATATTTGTAATATATCAGTTAAACAAACCACACTTCTGAGTCTTTATTCACATGTAAGTATAAGTGGAGAGCACATATATATTTCTTAGAACCATTTTAATATTCTATCAAGAAGACTCTCACATTAATAAGCAGACTATTAACATTTTAAATTAATTTTCAAGTACTCTTTGAAAGTAGATATATATAGAACACAAACACGTTTTTTATCCTAGAAACTTTAAGAGACCTATTAATACTTTTATTCTTGCTGTTAAAAATAATGTGAGCCCCAGTCTGCCTTTATCCACATTGTAAAAGCAAATACTATATATCAATAGGAGGCAAGAGTATTTGGTATGTTTGCCACCTTGAATTTTATAGATATAAAGTCAGGATGTTGTTATTGTTATGATATTGGAAAAAAGCTAGTCTACTTTGCATTACAGCCATGCAATCAAATGTATATTGCTTTGACAAATGTTCAGAAAGGCCCTCCATCAAAGCTATTTCGCAAACAGTTTGGCCTCCCATCCCTAAGAGCAAAGTGAAACAACCGTAAACAGCCCCAGTTCCTAATTTCCCCCCGCCCCTACTTAGTTTGAATTTATTCTCAGTGTTCTGGACATTGTGTGCCATGCAAATATAATTGAAGTTTTGGTGGAGCAGTGGTTACAACCATAAATTGCCAAATCAAAAGCTGGGATTAGCAAACCCTGTATCTGGACACGGTATTATGATTATATAGCTTCTAGTCTGATGAGCTACTCTGAAGACTTCTATGATGAATATTTCTCCAAGATTTCTCGATTTATCTCTACATATAATTACCCGCATGTTAAGTTCTTCAATGGATCCATGATAACAATCTTCCTTCCTTCAGCCAATACCAATACCCATGGCAAGAACTGCACCCCAGTAGTCTAGTAGAAGGCAGAACTAGACTATGATTTATTGAAAACAGCCTATCTTTGTTTATGGGAAATCACTGCCAGAAGATTTAATGATGGTATCTGCATAGAGGCCTATAAATAAAGACTGCCTGGTAAACTATTACTTAATATAAAGCAGGATGGAAATCTATCTTGATCTGCTGCTATATTTATGGGATCCTGAAATCCAATTAATTGAAATCCTCTTTCAATTCAGTAATGACTTTCTAATGAAATAACTCAAAATCACATTCATCAAGCCTTACTGAATGAATCTTAAATACTAATAATATAATTTAATAAGCTGCTATAGATTGTTTCCTAAAACTTTTATGAAGTCTTGGTCACTTTATTTGAATTTCAGACCATTTTGCCCCATCTCCAATCTCTTTCATTCCGCAGCAAATGTTTTAATGAGTCTACATTGTTATAGAAAGTGGGGTGAATATTTCCTAACACTAAAATTCAATATTTTGTTCTTTTTTGTTATTGAAGTCACCTCTAAAATTGAATCTTATTCAATGCTTAATGAAAAATTTTATTTCAGTTAATCTAATAAGTGTTTCCTTCAGCCTTTAAGTGTGATTGCTGAATACCCTTCTTACCTAAATCCCGTACAGAGAATTTTTAATTATGTTGATCTTGAATAAAATCTTGAGTAAAATCAAGCATTTATATAGTTTTGAAGTCGAGCAATGCTCAATTGCTGCTTTTATACTATTTTTCTGGCATCTTAAAATAGAATGGGTATAGCTTATAATGTTAACCAAGCACTGAACTGTATCTTTCAGCTTCGTCTCGGATCAGTGATGCCCACCTGGCAGACATAATGATTGGCAAAGCAGTAGAGCATATGTTTGAGACAGAAGATGGCTCAAAAGATGAATGGAGGGGAATGGTCTTGGCTCAAGCACCTATAATGAAGACATGGTTTTATATTACCTATGAAAAGGATCCTGTCTTGTACATGTACCAGCTCTTAGATGACTATAAAGAAGGCGATCTCCGTATTATGCCTGATTCTAGTAAGTTGATTCATATATAAAAATCAATTTAAAATTCTCAGAGTTTGCTAGAATACAGGAATTTTGAGAATAAATTTTATCACCAATACAAAGAATAATTCTTGTGAACTGACCTGAGAGCTGCACAAGTAGAGAACAGAAAGGTTCTTCAACACAATTGTTGCATGTTTTGAATGTTCTGCAGTCAAAATGAATCTTTAGGTTTCCATGACAAATACTGTATTTTCCGACGTATAAGACGACTGGGCGTATAAGACGACCCCCAACTTTTCCAGTTAAAATATAGAGTTTGAGCGAGAGAGAGGGGGGGAGGAAACTTGATAAGTAATATGCCAAACCACATGTGTAAAGGAATAAAATAGAATACCCGTATTTTCCGGCGTATAAGATGACTGGGCGTATAAGACGACCCCCGACTTTTGAGAAGATTTTCAGGGTTTAGAAAGTCGTCTTATACGCCGGAAAATACGGTACTTAATTGGAAGGGAAGGCAAGAGAGAATTGACTGCTGCTGTTGGCAGTATTCATATCCATGGCATGTGAATAGTTACCTAGATTGTTTTTAATGTTCTTAAATTTCTATTTTCCTTTTCCTTTATGGAATATGATGCTATCACCTCTTGTGCCCTATATTTACATCCAGCTATAGGAAAACTCAGATCCCACTATTTGGGAACAAGGGAAGATGAGGCTTACAAAAAAATCATGTAAATGGATGTAGTGCTGATGTTGGGGAAGGTACAAGAGAACCATTAAGAGGGAAAGAAAAGAGGGAGCCATCAATAGGGAGTTGCAGAAAAGTTTGCATAGTCCCAGATAGAAAGAAGAGTATGAAAGAAATTCAAGATAGACTTGTCTTGATATTATTTGGTATAAGATGGGACAAACTTGGTTAGGCTTTGAAGATTCTGTTATTTGAACTTAGTATAATAAGAGTTTTCCTGAAATCCTTGTAATATTTGTTTTGTGACCTACCCTACCTTAAAGGACTGACAAAATACAAGAATACTAGTGAGGCTATGAATTTCCTAAAGGGGGCAAGGCTTAAAGGGAGTCTGTTGAAAATAAGAAGGTACATTGTTAGTGCAGTTAACACCATTGAGCTAACCTTGGCTGATCTTCAAAAAGCAAAGCAGTTGTTTGCTGGAAGACCAACAGAAATTGTAGGGCTATGAACAATGTTGGAAAGATGTAAAATACTCCTAGAAGGTAATGACAAACCATTTCTACATCATTGCCAAGAAATAATATGGATGTGCCTGTTAATTCATCAAGTGTGTCAAGCTTAATTCATAGGAGATTTTGCTCAGAGAATAACATGGTGTGACCTTACCCAGGATGGGAGAGAAAAAGCAGGAAATATACAAGCTTTCTTTGCAAAACTGACTGTGTATTGGGAGCAGGTGAGAGGGGCTCTCCTGAAAGAAAAAGACTATAGGCTTGAAAAGAAATAGTGACCAGGAGTCACTTTCATGTTGTGTTCAGGTTCTGGAACAAGACCTTAAAGTATCACTAGTTTGTCTTTGGTGATGCAGGTATTTATGACTTTTTATAATGCAGCTGTTTGTAATTGTGCCAGAAGCACTTCTTCAAATTCCCACAGTTCTCAAAAAATTAGCCATGTTTTTGTTGCATACTGGTTTATAGCAATTTTGATGTTTTCATAGTATATGCATAATAATAGCAAAATCAATAGTTTTCTTTAGTCAGTAACTTCACCTTTTGTGATTTCTTAAAACGACGTTTGTTATGTTTTTGGATTTATCTATGAGGTGTGCTGGGCTTAACTCCCAGTGTACTTTCAAAGATAAGTCCACCAGCATTTAACATTCTATGTTTGCCATCCGCTTCTGTGCTTAATTGCCAGCGGGATATTTCAACTTGAAGACCTTGGTGAGAAGTTGCTTTCTCTTGCAACTGCATACAAATTGGCTTCCTTTATTGCAAAGTTTCCTAGGGCTAAAAAAAGACTACTATTCAAGGACTTCATTGTTTATTGTGTCAGTTTGAAGCTTAAAGAAAGATATGGAAATATTAGACATACTGCTGTAACTTTTAGAGGCCTATTAAGTTTGATTAGAGTATTTGTTAGGTTAAGAAATTACTGTTTGGGAGTTGGTGACTCTTTCCAGTTCAGTTTAGCTCAATTTCTTTTCTTTTTTCCCAGCGCCCCGTTTTTCAGTCTTTCCTGGAAACATACATAATGCATTTTGCACTGCTTTTTTATGAATTGCATTGCAAAATAAAAATGTGAGAATCCAGTGAAAGTATGCATGGATGTATATGTCTGTGAGGGAGAGAGAATGTTCACATATATGTAGAGTAGATTTCCTCACCATCTTTGCTTGAGCTGTTGGGGAATCATGTGTTCATTGTTCTTAAGCAGAAGCACATCTGCAAAGGTCAAATGATTATTGGCACAATAAAACAATCATAGCCTATACTTAAAGCATTCAGAACAGCTACAGCGATAGTAATTTTTTATGGATATGTTTTCACACACTTAGTATATACATAATGAACTAGTAGTTTAATTTGTTTTGGTTTTCTTTTTTACTAAATAAAAATATTTTAAAAAATTAGACTGCAAAAGAACAAACATACAGGCTAAATACTTTTTAACCATCAAAATAATTAGGAAATCTATCTAATCTTTGTCAAAGATAATTACGGTCTTAGATGTTGGTCATGTTTGGGAGACTGAGCACTTTTTGTCCATTAATGCTCCATTTTTATTAGTATTTTAGACTTTTAGGCCAATGACATAGCTAAGGCATAGGTTAAATGTGTCATTATTATTTAGTGTATGATGAGAACATGACAGAAGAGAAGTAAACAATATACACAGTCAGTCTACGTAATTATAAGTAAAACCTCTATGAGGATGTGGCAGTGGCCTCATATCTGGATTTCTAATTCAGCTACCCAGGCAATTGCCTCTGGCGTTGCTTCATGCAGATTTTCTAGGGAACCAGAGAACGCACGGTGTGGGCTATCTTGCACAATATGTTTAATAGTTTGCATATCAGCACTACAATCGCAACAAGAGGAATCTTTCCATCCCCACTGATACAGGGCAAAGACACTTCTTCCAGTATCACACCTAATTATGTTCCATTTTGATCAGATGAAGTTGGGCAGGTCAAAACCAGGTGGTTTGATAGAGGGATCACTAATGGTCAGGCCACAAGAAGATACTTTGGACCATTAAATGTATTAAATATATATGAAGTATTGATAATTGGTATAGTTTACAACATTTTAATGTGTTATATATTGTTAAGAACAAACTTTGAATGTGAAGTTAATTTTTTTTTAAAAATTGAATTATGTACAACTAACAAGAAAAATCAACTTAAGTATCACTTTCTATTTATTTTATATCCTACACAATATTTTAACCTATATTAAGTAAGAATTTGTTGGACTGTTCACCCTGAGTTTAAGGAGGAATAATTTCGACATTTGAAATTTTGACTATGCTATGCTGCATAAAGTAGAATATATTTACCAAGGTTACAAAGTTATCCATTTGAATAAGACATTAACCATTCAATCAATCCAATTAGTCTAACATTTTGGGAACATCCAAAATGTTTCTATGTGTGCCATAAATAAAGCTTTTGTTTTAAGGTGCTTGAAATGGATCACTAAGATAAACTTGGTAAAAGGTGTATTTCTTGCAATAATACATTCCTGGTTGTTTTCATTTGTAAAGAAGCAACTTCTCTTTTAAGCCATCTGCTTATTATTAGAAGTGAATAAATTGACAGTGATAACATATAGAATTGCATGAAGAAATGGATTTAATAAGGGTATATTATGTTAAACACTATTGTGTTTTAATATAAATTTTGTCTTTTCAGATGATTCACCTCCAGCAGAGCGGGAACCTGGAGAAGTTGTGGACAGCTTAGTTGGAAAACAAGTGGAGTACGCCAAAGAAGACGGCTCAAAAAGGACTGGCATGGTCATTCATCAAGTTGAAGCCAAACCCTCTGTCTATTTCATCAAGTTTGATGATGATTTCCATATTTATGTCTATGATTTGGTGAAGACATCCTAGACGCCACCATGCAAACTTTTGCCAAACTTGTGGAACTTTCAGTGTAAAATTTGTAGACACAGAAGACTTAACTGCTTTCCAGTTTATTTGAAAGCTTAAATGTCCCTGCGAGCCCACAATCTCTGCCAGGAAAATTATTCCATTGTGAACTGTACAAATAGACTTTGATGTGAACATGACACATTTTATGTAGGGGAATTCCTTTTCTTAGAGGAAGTCTTGTTGGGGGTGGGTGGGTGGGTGTCTGGTTAAAGTTAGGACAAAAAAACCAGCAGCTGCAAATTCAAGCTGTGTAAAAGAATCTTAGCAATGTAATCATTAATCTGATTTCTCCCCCTCCCCCAATTATATCTTTCCCTTGGCTTTTCACTTAACTTTTCAACTGCCAATGCAAGTGTAGCTTGATATTAAATTGCTTTCCTGTATGTAATATTAAGTTTTCTTGTATTAAACATATTACGTCCTTGTTTTGGGGGTTTGGGCAGAGATGATTAAAACTATTTTAAGCAGTGTTAAGGAGTGCCTAAACCAATTAATATCAGTGTCCTATGTTCCAGATACTATTATGCTTCTGTTACATGAGAATGTTGTACATTTTAATTACAGGATAATAGAATATGGTATACATATGATGCAGTTGATAACGAAAAATGCAGAGCAAGTGTTTATCAAATGTAGGACCTGGATAAAATTAAAGCAAGGATGCCTTCAGTTCTCAATATTGTTGTTGTAGGATTTTTTTTGTTAACTTTTAGCAGAACCCAGGTGCTTGGTGCCGTAGCAGCTTAGTCATTCATGTTAACATTAAAGAATACTACACAGCAATTATTGGGTGTCTATCAAACCTAGCAACTTAGATTCTTGTATGTGGACTAAAATCTGTTACATGTAAATGACAAACCTCACTAGAGTCCTCATACATTAAAGGCTTGTCTTACTGAGAAAGAAAGTCATCTGTTGCCTTCTATTTTGATATACTGCATTCCTTCTTGTTTCCTTATCTTCTGCTAAAGAAGGCTTCTACCTTTTTTTCTCCTGGCCTTTCTTCTTGGGGTGAGTCCAAACAAGACATACAATTCCAACCTATTGTCGCCTTTTGTATTGTACATTGTATTTGCTTGAGGTATGCTGTTTAATGTGAACTACATTAAAAGAACACTAGGGCTCTGCATGCTAATGGTGCACTATCTAACAGAAGCTAGACAGTCTCCATGGTTCAGCCATCTGCAGCCGAGGATGGATGTAAATAAGCCACCCGCAGCTTCATTCAAATTCATTCTTGGGTCATTTTTTTTTTTGTAAAGTGTAGATTGGCGTGGCAGCTTTTTAAACTAATCAGTGGAAAATATCATAAAGCAACCAATTTGAGGCAGGGCATTGCGGTGACTGAAGACTGCTCTGCACAAGTAAATGAGAACCAAACCTCTTTGCTTAACTACAAGGCTGAGGAATTTTAGAAAGTGTTGCTGATCAGCTTTTTGAGGTTAAGTTTACCTCTGGTGTGAGTATGCATATTAAACTCCATGCAATTTAAACTTTTTTTTTTTTTTTAGTTTTGCCTGAATTCATATTGTAGCCTTAAGGCTTGTGCCTCATTATGCTCTTTAATGGTAATACTCACCGTATAAATACAGTATCTTAAAATTTCTTGACCATTGCTACTATTGCATTATGTCCAGTATTTCATCAATAGGCAACCAAAGGCAAACTGTTGTCTTTTCCATGAAGAGCTTTTCCAATGCAGTCTTTAAGCCCCGAGTACCTGAGTCATGATGTTCCTGTGTTCTTGAACAAAAGTGAGCAGATTTGCAACCCAGTGTTTTTCATCCAGCAGATCTGTATGTTTTCTATTGACTCTTTAGAGTCCTGCATGTAAATCTCAAAGCTGAGCCTGGCTCCATGAGCCCAAGTTGATATTTGTGGCACAAGAATGAGTGTGTATTAAACATACACAAGAGAAATACGTAAATGTAGTACTTTGAATTGTGGGCTACATAAACTATAAATCAAGAGTATGTCTCAAGATACTTGCAAAGAATTAAGTGGAACAAAAAGATCATGTTCAAAGAGCTTGTGATGTGATTTCTGCAAGTCTCTTAATACACCACATTCTGCCAGTTTAGAGTAATCTATATTCTGTATAAATTTTATGGTTTTTTAAGTGTCCACATTGTCTGCTTTTTTGATAGCTTAGACCACCTTTTTCTGTTTTTGAGCTAGAGACTTAATTTTACACCCTGCCCATCTATTTTGGGCTTCATTTTAGGCTCATATTTCAGATCTGCATGCAGTGTTTGTCACCCTGGTAACTAATGTTGGTCCCTTGCTCTAGAGATTCAGCATTGGTTTCCACGTTATTACAAGCTTGTGGTGGCACAAGCTATGGATCTGTGTATAAAAGTTATTGGCCTTTCTCCATTTACCTGCTGTAGTATTGTATATTGTGTGTTTTATGTGATGTCAGGCTGCCCTGTAAAATTTTAAGACAAAACTTAAATGCAGACCATCCCTTTTTTGCATGCTTAGAAGGTAGAATGTTCAATGTAAGAAAGTTAAAGTTGCATGTTTAAAAAATGTTTAGGTTTTTAGGTTTTTTTATTTTGGTTTTTTTTTTTTTTTTTGTGAATTTGCTTATTGTGCTGTTTTAATGGTGGTAGTAGGATTAAATGCACTGGTGAGGCAAACATAGTGCCAAGGAGGTAACTTTCCAGTTGTATGTGTCATGCAGCGTTTGAAGGGACCATGTACTTTGTTCAAAAAGAAATAAAAATTAGTTCCAATTAGTACTAGGCTTTTTTTGTGCCAAATCCTAAATTGTGATGAAGTAGAATCATTAAAAACCCAGGCAATGGTGCAAAAAGCTATTTTTGCTGGATAATTTTTAACTTCCTTAAATTGGTGTGTTTAAAAAAAAATACTTCTCCATGAATATATTAATTGCAACCATTTCAAAGAACCAAAAAAATAAAAAATGTGTGGTTCCTTGGAAATGCTGTGCTTTTTATATTTTTCATCATTAGTGCAATTTGGATGGTTCTTGCTATGTGTATAGTTCAAAGGTCTTCGTGTTCACATTTTAAAATTAGGTAAATGACTTCATCTCTAGAGCTTGGTTTCATTTTTTTTTATTTTTTAATGATGTAGACAGTTCCCTGTTCTCTGCATTTAGAAGTATAAACACTTTAAATCTTTAAATCTGTTACTTAATTCTGTAAGTAATTTTTATAATTATGATGTAACTCTATCCTTAAAACATTTAAAATAAACCCTTTATGTGCAACTTACGACTGTAAATCTTGTTCTCATAAGACAAATGTGATGTGTTCAAATTGAAGAGAAATTTCTTCCATTTTATAATTAAAATGAAATTTTAAAAAAATTACTCCAGTTTGTAATTAAACTACTTTAACAATGAAAAATTATTATGCTAATAAATGCTGATAAATATTAGCCAATACTTTAAAAAAATCATACAAAGCTCCAATCCATTTAAGTTAAATGCAATACTTCAGCAGTTGAGCTGCATTATTTAAACTGTTGAAACCAAACATCTGAAAAGATAACCTGATAAATGTTCCATTACCTTGTCCTTGTGTTATAGTTAAACAATATAAAGTTGTATGCAAACACTTAGGCATCTTTAGTAAAACTGTATGTTCAAGTGAATCCTCAAGTGGACAGAAGTTGATACATCTGGATGTATAAAATTTAAACACGAATTTGCAGATTCAAAAAAAAGTGACCATGGCAGTTGGAACCCATTTGAATCACAATTCCTTTGTAACATTTTTGGCAAAAATAAAGGCTCCAAAATGTTTTCTGCAACCAGACCATCTTACTATCCTCTTTTTCCCTTCCTTCCTTCCTTCCTTCCTTCCTTCCTTCCTTCCTTCCTTCCTTCCTTCCTTCCTTCCTTCCTTCCTTCCTTCCTTCCTTCCTTCCTTCCTTCCTTCCCTCCCTCCCTCCCTCCCTCCTTCCTTCCTTCCAATATCAAATTATTCTTAGGACCGCTTGCATGTACATGTATCAATATTTAAGTCTGGGGGACTATGAAGACTACTGCAAAACCTTTCTCTCTTTATCTGTAACCATGGTTGATTTTGAGGTATTTATTTATGAAATTTAGCTATTGCTAAAAACAAATTGCACCCCAAGCAGCTTAACAGAACATGCAGAATAAAAATGCTACGTGAAATAACAAGAATTAAAGCAAGCTCCAAATAAATGTTCATTTAAATTAATACTAAAGATATTCCTAGATTATTGTTTAATAACATGCAATCTCTTCTCAGTTTCAGATTCTTCACTGATACGAGAAATTAGTTTCTAGGATATTTTGATACATAGTGATTGGCAAGATATTCTTTTCATATTCTTTACTCTTTTTCTATAAATGAATCTTAGGCAATGAAGTTGGAGAGAACTTGCAAGAACTTTCTTTTGCAAATTATTTTTATATGAGTGTTGTGGGCCTGTAGACAATTAGTCTAATATTATTTAAACCTTCCAGTTGATCATTTGCAGTGATCTGGAATTCTGTTTGCAGATATGACCAGTTTGCAGAGATTTTCCTTGGACTTCAAACTAATGTCCAGCCTGTTCTACAGGCATTCTCTGTGGTAGCTCCCATTTCATGGAACATTGTCCCTGGAGGTAAATGAAGCTCCACCCGATCTTGCATTAAGCAAGCAAGTAAAATCGATTCATGCCTTTAAACCTAATTTTTTATAGGCATCCACTGCAGCTATTTTGATTTATTTTGTGTTGTCTTTAAAAAAATTATCTGTTATGTTATATGTTCACTAGCCGGAATCTAGTGAGATTGGGACATCTTAAAAATATTCCACGATGAATTTGATCATGTTTCTAAGTGTTTACCATGTAGATTTTTCCTTTACATGGGGATTCACTGAAACATGCTACTTTATCAGAGTGCCAACATTTTTGCATACAACTATTTGATAATGATCTAGGAAGCATTTTTTAAATTTATGCTTGTA